TCCTGCTGAGAACTTCTGTATGCTTTTGTATATTTTTGCATGTTTATTCATTGCCACAAAGAATATTCCAATGGCTGCAGAAAAACCTTGACACAATTAAATATACAGCAAAAGTAAAGGCAGCAGTATTGTGATGAAATGAGAAGCATTTAAACAAGCGTAGATAATATCAAGCCATCGAAAATAAATGATCAGAAATTCAACTGAGAACAAGAGTGGAGCAAAGTCAAATGGATGAGATTTGCCCTAGAATCTGTCTTTGATAAGTGTAGGCTTTAAAAACACACAACCTGAAAAAATAGCTTAAATATTAGAGCTTTTATCTCTGCTAAATTGCTAAACTGACTCATCTGGCTTGTAACAGGTGTAATCGTGCGGTTGTCGCGTTGTGTATCTGCTCTCCCCAGTCCTGACAAACAGTAAAATCGCCACTAAGCTTCAGCGATAGACAACAAGAGCTTTGACCTTAGGATCTGTCATTGTTCCTTTGTTATCTCTGCGCATTATGGAACTGCTTCATTTTAATTCATTTGGTTTCTGTTTATTTCCTCTGTGGCAGTCCCAGGAGCTTGTATTCACTGGCTTTTTGTTGGAACGTGTGAATTGTTAGTTTGAAAGACCCACCATTTCTTTCTGGTAGAATCACAGCCTGGATTGAATATATCTCACTATTAATTAGAGATCAGCCCAAACCAAAGATGTCTGTTTGATCCCTCCCTCCCTCTGGAATCTTTTCTTGCCTGGGGAAAAACTGCTCAGCACTGGCTGGAGGATTGACCATTGTGTTGTAGAGAAACTTTTGTGGTTTCGAAATGTGTTTCATTCTCCTTTGGAATTAAATAAAAAAAATCCTTCTGCGAACCTTCTGCATGTAAAGGATTTCTCTCCTTCCCTCAAGTTCGCTCTTGCCTATAAATCCATCCCACTGAGACCTCTATCAAATGCCATATTATTTTTTTTTTTTTGTGAAAAGTTTTGGTTTCAAGAATACAAAGCTTTTATCAGTTTGCCGCTAACTTCCAAACTGCTGACCTGGCAAAAATGGATTGGGAGTGTTGCAGCTTTGCAGCCTCCAATTGCATTGTGTGTTAGCGGTGTTGGCCTGAAGAAAATGTTCTGGTTTACTGCCTACTAATATACAATATGCCAGTTTCTTACTTGTATTGAAACATGGATGAGAAAAAGTCCTAAGTTTGATCTGGCAATAAAAGAAGAAAAACCAACCAGTAAAAAGTTTTGGAACTTAGATTGGGATCTGGCCAATCAATCTCCTCCTTGTTTTATCCTGTACTTGATTAACGGCTTTCAAATAGGTATTAGATTGGGGAGGGTGGGAAGGGAGCTGTACAGCTGATGCAATGGGATGTTTTCAGTGTCTGAGCTTTGTGCCAACAGTGTTATTCCACGGTACCTGTGTCAGATTGTTTCTTAATTGTGGCTAACAGTTTGATCTCTGGTAATATATTCCTTTTGAGAAGAACCGAGGGTCATGTTAAGCAAACATTAGAGTTGTCTTTCTGTTTCCTTTTATCTTTGGCCTGCAGTGGTGGAGAGCCGAGGAGGGATCATGGACAGCATACAGAGATTTTCAAACCTGCCAACGTATCTCCCCGCGAGCTATCACATCTGCAATGCTGATGTTTTCTTCTTCCTCAAAGAAGCCAACCAGGATATCATGAGGAACTCCAGTTTGCAGTCTAGGGTGGATTCATTCTTTATATACAAAGCCAAACTGCCACCTCTCCTAAACGCCACGTATGGACCCTTTTCTGTTGAACAGGCTGTTCCCTTGGACCTCATGCTGACTTCTGCATCTTTTGGTTTCACAAATAAATTCACTTTTAATTGGAAGTTAAAATCTCACATCATCAACAGCTCAATCTATTCCAACAAACCTAAAATACAAACCTTGTTCTATATTGCGGGGAAGGACTGGGATGACTATAATTCTGCAGAGAGGTTGCCTTGCGTGAAGATGTTTGCTTTCCTGGAGTCTAGAGAAGTTGTGGCCAGCTGTAGATTGACAGGTCATCTAGGATTATGTGTTGCGGAGCTGGAATTGTCTCCTAGCTGGTTCAGCTCTCCTCCACCCCTGGTTTCAGAGGAAGCAGCCTCCCTGGAAGGGATTACTGTGGAGCTCTTCTATAAGATTTATTCAGCAGATGGAGAATGTTCTCCAGAGGATGCAAAATGGGAAAACAATATCCATGCAGGTCAAGATAATGAACACAAGGCTTTGTCAGCTATGGAGAGGATTGGTAGCATCGTTGTTTACCCAAATCAAGACAAATTAAAACAGTCTTTACTGAGGCTAGATGAAAATGTCGTTATTCGCTTACCACTCAACCCGGTCAGAGAAGGTGACATTGTGACCTTTCATATTTCCCTGGCTGATGACTCTCTAGCAGACCAGTTTGTATTAAGGTAAGAGAATTTTTAAAGTGCCATATGCTAAACAGTCTACAAATAGGGCCAAATATATGCCAGGTGTAATTTCTTTGGTTACATTCATTGTTTTCCTGAGAGAATTTAAGCATTTCCTCTCCACCTGGGGAAAACTATAGTCTTAAATTATCTGTGTGGATGACAATTTTTGGAACAGGGGAATTGATTTTAAAATATGAGCTATAAATGTTTGTATGATTATTTTTTGGTATAATTCTATTTGCTTCTAGTCATAATTCTGCCTCTTAAATTATGCCTCTAAAAGTCACCCAGGGTAACTGCTGCAATCCATTTTGCTAGACGGTTTGCAGGAGGGTTTTCCATTTATTTAGTGAAGCTTCCTTTTTTTTAATCAACTTTCTTGCCACCTTTCCAAAGTACATGGGATACATCTCACACAGGTCATATGTGGTGAGGAACTATTTTGTTGTACTGTACAAAGGGGAGCTGAGAGGTGAGAAAATGAGATGTAGGAAGCTTGCGTAGGAAGTCTTTGGCAGAGCCAGAATTTGGATCCAAACTTTACAAGTTGTCTTCGTTTTTTCTGCAAGACAAGCCCATCCTGCTTCCTCAAGCTTTTGACTGCTTGTTGCGTGGCCCACTTTTGTTTTAAGTTTTGAAGACTTTTTGGTGACCTTTACTTGTGAATCTGCTTGTAATAGGAGAATTCAGGCTTTTCTAACCACCCTGAGGGTTAGTGCTGCATATTTGTTATGTCCTTAGCTGTCAGACTGTGGGTTCAGAGCTGCATAGAGACCAAATTCAGAGAGAAATGTGAGCCAAACTGGGGGAATAAAAGGGCCAAAAGGTAATTGGAAAGTGTCATATGCTGTGAGAATGCGAGACGCTTGGGAAAGAAGGAGTTGCAGCCCGTGCTAGCAAACCTCAAAACAGATTCATGCCTTACTTCTAACTTTTTGATCCGAGAACAATGGGAGCAGAACATGACAGAAGCGCACTTTGGGGACAGTTGTTGAGAAAACAGACAGCAAACCTTATGCAGCACTTTCAAATCATTCAATGTTTGTGAAATCAGACATGCATATTAATAAACTTACAGATTCCTGCGTGAATCAGGACAAGTAGTTCATAGCGCAGTGCACAGGCAGAGGGAAGGAAATGGTCCACAGTATCCCAAGTACTTCTGTCTACTCAGGGTTGGGGGGAAATGTGTGTAACCAGGGTGTAACCAGACTTTAAAAGGTTTGGGTCAGGAAGGGTCTTCCTATAAACCAAACTTATTCTTCTCTTTGCCTGGCTTTGCTGGTTTTTCTTTGTTAGATATGATTTTGGCCAGCATCCACTGTCAGTAGGTGGACCAGCCTTGTGGAGCAGTCAGGTTTCAGTATTGATGCTCAGTGCAATAGCAGAGATATTATGGAATTTGCCTAGGGCTCTGCAAGGATTTAACACCAGCTGTTAATTCTCAGTTTTTTGTTCTCTTTGCCACACCACAGGTAAATTTCCCTAGGTATTAGCTACAACCTAAGATGATGATGTTTTCTTTCCATTGGAATTTTTAAAATAACGTTTACCTTGTAACAAATGGCACGAGGGCAGAGCTTTGATATTTCTGCTGGCCTGGAAACACCAAAAAATTCTTGCAGAGATAGTTCTGAAATGCTGTCTTTCAGAAGCCAAATAGTTTCTGGAAGCACTGAGCAGAGTAACTAGCCTGGGATTTCAAGGAAGCAGAAAACGAGGGAGTTGACAGCCTCCAAACTGGGGCACCCCAAGATGAACCACAAGAGCCTGGCTTCCACCGAGACCCTCGTCCATCCTCCTCAGGTCCCCGTGACTTGTATGTCCTCAGCCAGCAGGTGGGAGTCACTTTGTGGTGCTGTCCTGGCACGTGGAGCATGCATCTCAGTGCTCCCAAGCTGCAGGAAAGGCCGTCAGGTTTCCATGGGAATTTCCTTCTTTGAAAAGTGTGCAGAATCGGTTCATCTCCAAGAGATGTTTCTGTTACAATAAATCAGCATGTTTTACGTGCCCAGAAATACTTCCTTGGAAGATTCACTATCAGCTCTATGTAGTCTAGCCTGTCTGGTCTTTTATTTGGCTTTGCTTGCATTGTGCTTTTCATCAGAGAAACTGCGAGTATTTTTATTTAACCTTCAGTTGAATGCTGAAAGTAAGAGGCAAAATGCAATTCTGCTGATGGTTCACCCGTCCTCCAGGATGGAGAGAGCATCAGCAACTGTTGCTGTGATTATTTCGAATGACATACGTGGGGCCCATGGAGAGATTATTCAGCTGAAGTTTACACAGTAGGCAGGGAATTATGCCGAGGGAAATACAATCACTGTAGTGCCTGCATCTAAATTATGCAGTTTCCCTTACAGGCTTTCCCTGTTTTTCAGCTCAATGCTAATGTCCGTAAAAACCCAGAAGGTTTTTATATACATAGAATTTCTGTGTGTTATAGCCGGAGAAAAATACATTGAAGTGAATGTTTGCCTTGGGAAATATATTTTTGCCTAATATAACTGATTGTTTTTAATCATATCTGTTATAAGTGTAGTGGGGTGAATTGCAGTCTGGCTCATATGAGACAATAGATCAAAATCAAGTCATTCTTAACACAGCGTTAGATGCCGACCTAGAACTCTGACAGTATGCAAAAGAACAGATTTGCTCGATTTTATGCACCTCTTCACTATTTCATGCTGTGTTGTGTAGTATTTTATTTTGTGTTGGATTTTATTTTAGGAAAACTGACTTCAGTTCTCATATGAGAGCAGATTCTTTCTCATTTTGGTAAAATTTGGGATTCTTAACCAAGCTTGGAAACTGAAAAGCAATTGGAAACAATTTCTTGATTCAGCAATGTGCTGTGTGGAAAGATACCCACTTGTTAGACCCCCATCTTTCCAGTAATGTCACTTACAGGGGGATGCTGCAGGCTGTATGTGAAGCTCCAGCTATCATTTCCCACCCCTTTCTTCAGTCCAAACTGGTTTTACTCTGCTTAAGCTAAGTCCTGGTTGTTTGTTTTCATTCAGTAACTCAGATTTAAGATTGAATTGGATCTCTAGTTGTGCTGTGGGAATTTGTTTCTTAGCATGCTGCAATCCAGCCAGCGTGGCTTGGTGTAACTGAAGGACCCAGATATGTCAAGGGGCAGAATTTGGAGGCTAAGTGTGCATTTAATGCTTTTGCTGTGCCTGACCGTCATGTTGCTCACTTTGTTGACAGATGATCTATACATGTGTGCAATGAAATTCTTATGACACTGGAGATTAATTTGTGGCCTTGCCGGTCTGGTCTGTACTGTAAAATTTACCATCTGTGAACATAAATTTTGCCCATTATGTTAGGTGGGCTGCCACTGAACATAGTTTAACAATAAAGATAGGTGAAATGGGCTATGTTGCCATGATTGAACTTTTTTATGGGCTACCTAGTTTAAAAAAAAGGAAAAATGAAGCATGGCTTTGAGATTCCGACAGGACTAATACGTGCATCAGTGTCACAAATTTTCAGGCACTTTTTGTCTTTTGATGCACAGGCATATCTCTGTTACCTTCTTTACTGATAAACTTAGATGAAACATAGTAAACGAGGAAAGATGGAAATCGTGAATAAAGAAAGGGTAACACCAACTTTTGTGCTATTTACTAAACAGAAGTAGTCTCCTGATATAACATGGAGAAGCTGTAAAAGAGGTAGGAGAAAACAATTCTTGCTTAACTGGAAGGATGGAAATCTCATCCAATAGCACTGGGAATGGCTTGCATGTCTTTTGTAGTGTATGTTATTATTTAACTCCATCTTGAGACTCAAAGGGTGTATTTAAAAGAAAAATGAGAGTCATTTTGTACAGCAGGAAAACGTTTAATGGAATAAATGGACAATTGCCCCTTGGTTATCGGAAAGAAACCAGGACACTCTCTTTATAAATAAACGGATGAGTTTTGTCCCATTTTCCAAGTCTCCCCATTTAAACCGTCAGTGAGGATGTGCTGGTAATGAAGGCTGAGCACTAATAGCAATTTGTTGAGTCACAGACAAAAAGTGGGTTTGTCGGCATTCGTTACACGTCCCTAACACGAACGACCCATCCTTCTTTTATGCCCGATCAGAATAGAAACAGAGATTGGAGATATTCCAGGAATGATAGTGAGGGGCTGAAACCAGGTAATGAATCCCACGCTAGAGAAATGAAAGCGGCGGCAGTCGGGATGCGGTCCTCTGTCTGGAGGGGAATGGCGGGACCGTGCAAAGAAACCTCGCTGTCGTTCGGTGCCTAGGCAACCTCAGGGAAAAAGATTATCCGCTTCTCTCTGCCATGCTCCACATATTGCAGGGCAAAGATTACTTTTTGATTTTTGGATGAACCAGTACAAGGTGTAATACATGCCGGTTGGCTTTTACTGATTATTCTCACTAGGAAAAATGATATTAAGGATTTATATTAATAAACATATATCCATATGGAGGAGGTTATGTCTCCTGCTAAGGAATAAAAATTGCACAGGCCATTAAAACTGACTTACAAGGCTTCTGCGTTAATAATGAAAGATCTGTAGAAGTCTGAGCAGTCGTCTAGAAGGCCAGAAAAAGATCATTAAGAGGATGTCTCCTGCCAATAGCTGCCAAGAGCAAACAAGGGAAAGAAAACAGAAGGTTTTAGATCTGGAAATGCGTAGAAAATGAGAGCATACAGACTGTGGGGAATGCAGCCTGGCTGTGTGTGAGGAGGAGGCTCTGCATGGCCTTCATTGCTTGTAACCAGGCTGGTATGAATGGGGAAGCAGGGCAGGATTATTACTGGTGAGAGAAAGAAATGATTAATTGAAACATCATTTTAGGATGAAAATTCAGCAGAAGTGAAAGTGTTGAGCAAGGGAAAAATATAGCTCTGAAATTAATCAGAAATGCTAGTTCAGATTTAGAAATAACTACAGAATTAAAGCATTACTGGCGACTTGGGAATATTTGTTTTTTATCCAAAGATTTTAATAAACCCAGAATGA